TCTGGACAATGGGAAAACCAAATCTCGTGCTTCGATGCCTTTGCCTTTCAGCTTTGCGTATGTCTTGAGCGGTTTGTCATCATCTGTGAAGGAGCCAATGCTTAAGCTGGTGTATTGGCATGGTACATTGTAGCTGCTGTAATAGAATGAAATTCGTGTCCATACTTCTTCCATGTTGCACTTCGCATTGTTAGGCAACACCTGGTAAATGAGAAGGAACAGCACAGAGCCGAGCATGTATTGCACTGTTCCCAAATACATCGCGTGAAGCTCATCTGGTTCCAGGTTGAAGTGGCTTACGTGCGTAAGGCTGAACACCCAATGTAAGAACTTATTGTGGTAAAGCGCGCGCCACTCTTGCCTGGTGTAAGGCGCCCGCTGCCACTCTGCGTCGGCGCCAAAGTTCGTGTACGCCAATGCTCTAAGCCGACCGCCCCTCTCCGCAGGGCAAAGATCACACAACGCGTTCGCGTTGTAATGCCTCAACCGAAGAGTCCTCGCATAGTAGTCCAAGTCGCCTTTGAGGGACAATAACAACAGGAAGAAACCGCCAGCTAACTTTGTTCCACTTGAGGCGAGCCGCCCCTCTGAAGAGTCAGGCGGCCATGGCTCTCTGGTCCATTGAATCCTGGGCCACACTGCGAGATAGCTGTAATGTAAAGACCATGTGAATATCGTCCATATCTCATCTTCCGTCACATTATGTCCAGCTTCGTTGACCCACAAGTTGTCATCAAAATAACCAAACACGTACTGCTTGATGCGATCTGTAGGGCCTTGTGCCCACATGCTTGATATGCTAAACGCGTCGAAAGATCTAGAGCCTGCTTTCCCAACTTTTGAGACAGGGACCCCATCGCCATGCAGGGAAATTGGTATCGCATACTTCTGCCAATCAGCTCGCCTCAGGCACGGGTGTTCGTGCAGCCGCGGATCCCGACGAGCCACCAGCTCGTTCCAAAATTGAATTCTGGAGCTTTCGTCGACGTACGACCCCAGAAATAATTCATTGAACCTGTTCCTGTCTGATTCATAATAATGAGACATTGCCACGTGTGGTAACATGATTGGGAAACGCGTGGTAATGATTGGATCGTCGGCATCGCCTCTGGTCTTCGATTTGCGAAACTGCACGTCGAACATACTAGCCCGAACGGACAAAGGGCGGCCCAAGAAATTCAGCAAGGCTTCTTGGACGTGTGATGATCTGCCGTGATCTCCGAGCGCCGACAACCTCCGAAGGGACTCATGGACGTGGTCTGGGCTCGCGCCGAGCGACCTCAACAGACTGACTTGGTCCTCATGTTGCCTCGAGGCGAGCCTCTGGACAGCGGGGGCTGAATAATGACCAAGGGCCCATCCATGTACCAGCTCCCTTACGATACTTGGTTCATCTAGGACGCGCGCGGCGTGTTCTCCCGCACCAGCGGGTTGATCGAGAGCACGTTTCCTATTGTGTCTGCCTTTGGGCAACTCGGCCATGCGTGGCTTAATTCCTAGCGGGCGGCTTCAGCCATTGAGCCAAAAGTGGCTACTGATGAGTGGGAGGAGGGAGGGCGAGGACGAGGACAATTCGTTGGTCTGTTTCTGGAATCTACGTAACGGTGGCTCAGCTCGGATCTATAGATTTGTTCGTGCCATCTCGCATGGCGCGGCAAATCGGAACCCTGCATGCGCCTCAGTCGAGGGGGGACGCACGATGTGGATATACATTAGGAGGAGGAGGAGGAGGGGAGAGGAGCCCAGAGAGAAGGTGTGCGAGAGGGTGGTGGACATGATTAGGAGGTTGTTTGAGGATTGGGATCAATAGTCCTCGTTATGTTTGTTTGTTTTGATGGCCTGCACGGTGCATTGGTGTGTTATGTTATCTACGTTCGATGCAAGGGCTATGCCACCGATGTGTCCATATTTGGTCTGCCAATTACGTGTCCAGACTCGTTCTGCCACCTATCTGTTTATATTCGCTCTGTCAGATTGCGTATGTGTCCCCACACTGTAGAGAAATTGTGTACGAAGTTCTTGTTTTGTCCCACAAAGTTGTTGAACTGTCCACAAAGTAGTGGAATTTTCCACAAAGTCGTGGAATTTTCCACAAAGTCGTGGAATTTTCCACAAAGTCGTGGAAATTTCCACAAAGTTGTGGAATGTCACACAAAGATGTGGAATCGTCAACAACATTGTGGATCATATGAGGTTTCGGATTAAGGTCCACCGCACACGATGTAGTAAAGTCTACGGTGTCTCGCGCCGTTGTTATGTCAAGCTCTGCGCCCACACGTGATGAGCATTACTCACATCCGAGCTGTATGCGTGCATCATGTCATCGAACACTGAGGATTGCTGTGAGCACTCATCCTCCTCCCTCCTCCTCCTTCCTCCTCCCTCCCTCCTCATTCCTCCTCCTCCCTCCTCCCTCCTCGCTCCCCTATACGTGCAGTCCTCCCTCCTCCTCCCTCCTCCCTCCTCCTCCTCCTCCTCCTCCCTCTTCCCTCATCATCACTCCTCCCTCCTCCTCCCTCCTCTCTCCCCCCCTATACGTGCAGTCCTCCCTCCTCCCTCCTCCTCCATCATGGCCCTCCCAGCTGGCCTTGGCAGTCCGCTTGAGGCGGGCCTTGATCAGGGTCTTGATCTCATGCTCCAGATCCTCGCACGCCTGTGGCGGCATGTGGGGGCAGAGAGTGATGGGGAGCTGGGTCTCGTACGAGTAGGGTTTAGAATATGAGTTGTAGGAGTAGGGTTTGGAATACGGCTTGTAGTAAGGATTTGGACAACCAAGTTTAGATTGGGGTTCGGAGTCGGGTTTAGAGTAGGGCTCGGATTCGTGTTTATATTATGGTTTCGAATAGGGTTTGTGGTATGAGTATGGCTTAGAGTAGGGTTTCGAATCAGGGGCACGCCAGATTTTGTTGTTTTCCATATTTCATATGTTTCGTCGGGGGCTTCGTCGGAGTAGGAGTAGGAGTAGGAGTAGGAGTAGGAGGAGGAGGAGGAGGAGGAGTAGGAGGAGGAGGAGGAGGAGGAGGAGGAGTAGGAGGATGAGGAGGAAGAGGAGGAGGAGGAGGAGGGGGTCGCCTTGTACGCTGGCTCCGAGGCAATCAGCGCACTCTTGATGGCCGCGTCGGTGGTCTCGCCATCGCCGAGCAGCAGCTTCTCGAACTTGGACGTGCTCGTCTTGAGCTCCTTGACTGAGTTGATGGCCTGGTTCATGAGGACCTTCTGCGTGGTGCCAGCCGTCGGGTCGGAGCGGATGACTTTGATCTGTTCGAGGAGGGATCGTGCCAAGTTCTCGCACGAGTCGTAGCACTCCTGCAAGGTCGCCCACGCGTATGATGACGCGCTCTCAGTGACACGCGTGCTTGGACCAGCCGATGCCGAAGAGGAGCCAGCCAGCGCCGCCTGGGCCCTGGGGGCCTTGGTGAAGGACTCGAGCAGCTCGTGGAACTTCCCGCGCGAGTCATCATCGCCGAGGCCGCCGCCCATAGAGTGCGCCATCTCCTCGACGTTCTCGCGCTCCTCGGCCTCGATCTCGCTCTTCCACCAGTAGAGGCCCCGTTTCTGGATGATGTCCCCGTTGGCGAGCCCTTCCTTCAGCGACTCCTTGCACTCCTGTGTGTTCGCGCCAGGGCACTGGCCCAGAATCTGAGTGTAGCTCACGCCCACTGCCTGCTTCTTGTGCGTCTTCTTGCGAGTGCCTCACAATGGAGGAGGCTGGAGGATGAGGAGGGGGAGGGCATTGATGAGGAGGCGGAGGAGGAGGAGGAGGAGGAGGAGGGAGGGGGAGGGAGGACGAGGAGGAGGGAGGAAGAGGGAGGAGGAGGAGGAGGAGGGGAGGAGAGAGGAGGAGGAGGATGAGGAGGAGGCAGGAGGAGGAGGAGGCAGAGGAGGAGGAGGAGGAGGAGGAGGAGGAGAGGAGGAGAAGGAGGATGAGGAGGAGGAGGAGGAGTAGAGGAGGAGGGGGAGGAGGAGGAGGAGGAGGAGGAGTGGCACCTGTGACCTTGTACGCCCACTGCTCGCTCTCAGGTGTGAGTACCACGCGGATCGCCTGGCTCGTGGTCCCTGGGGGGATCGAGGCATTCACGATTTTGCGCTGCTTCTCCTTGTCTCCAGCAGCCACGGCGTTGTTCCACTCCTCTTTCATGGCCTGGGGTAACTTAGGAAGGTTGGCCAAAAACGCTGCCCTTTGCTGTTTTGTCCAAGGGTCTGTATTCTCGGTGTCCAAGTCGTTGCCGTCGGCGTCTTTGCCGAGCTCGATGTCTGTAGTGGCCTTCTTGTCACCGCGGCCGCGTGCAGAGGCCTCCTGCGACGCCGTCACATCGTCTGCCTCGGCCCACGAACCGAGCGTCCCTGGAGAGGCCCGAGGTTTCTTCTTGGTAGACCCCTTCGGGGCCATCGTGTCGGAGGTGCGAGAACCGTCCTCGCCTGTACCAGCTCGAGCCTTGAAATTGCCATGGTGAGGCGCATCAAAAAGTGGAGGAGTAGGGGTGGCGGACCGAAGGGACCGAAGATGAGGATGAGGGGAATAAGGGCGATGGGGATGGGAGGAGAGGAGGGTGAGGGCGAGGTGAATGACCAGAGGCGTGATTGGGAAGGGAGGCAGGGGAAGAGGGTTGTGACGGTGGGAGGGGTGGTAATCCCGAATTGGAACGGTTTGGGGAGGCTTCCGAACCCATCCGCCAGGCGATCAACATTTGAAGCTTATACGTATGGGGATCCGAGTTCTGCAGTACCAGTGCGGGCTCCTATGGGGAGTCCATACGTGCAAGCACTGTTTGTGGAATATTGCAGTATCAGTGATACGTGCAAGCACTGTTTGTGGACTATTTCAATTTTGTTTGGTGTACCCCAAGCTTTGAAAGGACCCCAAACTTTGAGGGGCATAGTGGTGATGGTGATGTGATTGCGAACGATGCTTTTTCTTTTTGTGAGCTGCACCTACTGGCTGCATACGTCATCACGCTGTGTGCGTGACTGCCTGGATCGCTCGCTGAATGTATGAATCGCTACGCAGGGTGCGTGGCCCTCCACTGGTCCACCTTGAGTTTCGCGGCTGCGGACGCCTTCTCCTTCGCAGCTGTCTCGGAGAGGCCCTTGGAGAGTAGGTGCTTCACCATAGGCTTGTAGATGCTCGAATGGATGCGGTTAATCTCCTTGGACCTTTCCTTTTTCGAGAAGGAGTCGCTCGTGTCGTCGGCCGCCTTATCCTTTGCAATCGCCAAGGCTTGTCGTTTCCTCTTCCTCTGGCTAGTCTCCAAGACCTCCGTGATCACATCGCCGCCAGCGCCGTCGATGGGATCAGCGCAGGCGTCGCCTGGTTCTTGATCTAACGCCTTCCTGGATGACAGGACGGGGAACAACCAGAGACGGGAACGAAGGATCACCACACAAATGTTTAGAGGAAATTTGCATTGCAAATATATGTCCATGCGCACGTACGTTGATACTGACATCTATACAGGTTGGTGCGTTTGCACCCTGTGTGTACGCAAGATTGTAGATTGATAGGTTAGGTTTTGTGTGCGTAGATGTGCACATGTATGGCAACTGATCTATGACTCAAACATGGTTTGCGTATGTATGTATGCATGTGTGTGCGTATTGATCATTTGTCCGCTGTGGTTGTCCCCCGTCCACGATGATTGCCAGAAGTTTGGCCAGTCCGTGATCTGGCTCGATGCTGGCGCTGGTGTGGTTGGTGTGATCTGGCTCGATGCTGGCGCTGGTGATGAAGGCCAGAAGGTGTCCATCATGTCCATCATATCTGACTGCATCGCACCATCTTGGTGCCAGAACGAAGGCCAAACTGAAATACCAGGCCGATCTTCATGCTCACCTTGCTCAGGCTTGTCACACGGGTCCATACTTCGTGCCGCTTTCTCGGCTGTCTTGAGTGAAGATGATGGCGCTCCACACGTAGGGGTACCGATGATCCGTTTCGGCTCTGGGGTCTCTGGACTCGTTGACTCGGCGTCAGACTGATCAAGCGGTATGTGCTTGTGCATGAGATCTAACGTCTCGCTGATCAACTTCCAATCGGATGCCGAAAAACTCTTCCTGGGAACCCAGCGCGGAGCTCCACCACGCTGGACCGACCGCCCGCCGTACACCGCAGGGTGGTGAAAAGAGGGCTGAGGGAGGAGGTTAAGGAACCGATTCGATTACGAAACTGTCGTTCCTTAACTTCGCCCCCCCCCCAGCCCCTCTCCACCATCATGCTGTGCAGGGCAAGCGCCCAGCGCAGCTTGATTAGCAACACTGCAGGGTGCAAACCTGATGGCGCCAGACTTCGGGTACGCAGCGCTGTACGACATGCCCTCGGTCGCATGCGAGTCCTCGCGCTTGATGTCGCGAAGCATGCCGAAGAGGTGCTGGATGTGCGTAGCGATCTTGTTGCCTGGGTAAGGCCCAATCTGCCCAACTGCGCGGGGGTTGCTCTGGAAGATGGACTCCAACGCTTGCTGAAGACGCTGCCCTGCCACGACGCCAGCGACGCAGCCAATCGCGATGAGCTTGTTGATCAGACCGAGCCCCCTCATCAGGCTGTCGCGCGTCACCCTCCTAGGCGTGGACACAAGGGGGCCCAAGGCCAGGTCCCACGTCTGGTAGGAAGCACACGAGCCAAACCAAGACGCCAATGCTGTTTCGTAGTCGGTAACAGTGAGTTCTTTGGGAGCTTTTGCGCGGGATTTCTGAGTTGACATGTAGTGGTTTGGGCCAAAAACGGCTGCAGGTGCTATCGAAACGGCGGTAATGGATGCGAGTGCAACAGCCCCACCGAGAGTTGGGTTCGTGTGCGAAGTCGGACCCAGCTGAACTTCTGTTAATCCGCCGCCCCTTTCGGGGCCACAGGCGTGCCTTTAGTAACATAGGACTTCCGAAATTGAAGGGTTAGGGCCACTGTTGTTCGGTTCTAGGGTGCCAGTTTGGGTCGGGGGTTCATATGGGGGCTTGATTGTTTGAGCGGTCGAGTCAAGGCTAGGGTGTTGGTGGTGGTGGTGGTGGGAGGTGGGTGGGTGGTGGGTGGTTGGTGGTGGGCGGTGGGTGTTGGGGTGGTGGGTGGTGGGTCTACGTCGAGAACTGCAAGGCGGCTTCAATTTCCGCCGTAATTTGTTTCAATTTCCGCCGTAACTTTTTGATCCGCCATAACTTGCTTCAATTTCCGCCGTAACTTTTTGATGATTTCCGACATACTTTTCCGAGGCGGTATGGGTCCGTTTCCGACATAAAATTGTGGCGGAAAATCTGCCACATTACGTCGGATCCGGAGTCAGGGGAGGGCGTGCTCGGGAGGGTGGCCCGGGAAGGTGCGCCCGGGAGGGTGGCCCGGGAGAGTGGCCCGGGAAGGTGGCCCGGGAAGGTGGCCCGGGACGGTGGCCCGGGAGGGTGGCCCGGGAGGGTCCCCGAGGGTGGGGCCCGGGAGGGTGGCCCGGGAGGGTGGGCCCGGGAAGGTGGCCCGGGAAGGTGGCCCGGGAAGGTAGGCCCGGGATGGTGGCCCGGGAGGGTCCCCGAGGGTGGGGCCCGAGAGGGTGGCCCGGGAGGGTGGCGCCCAGGAGCGTGGCCCGGGACGGTGGCCCGGGAGGGTGGCCCGGGAGGGTGGGCCCAGGAGGGTGGTCCGGGAGGGTGAGCCTGGGAGGGTTGGCCCGGGAGGGTGGCCCGGGAGGGTAGCCCGGGAGGGTGGCGGGAGGGTGGCCCGGGAGGGTGGCCCGGGAGGGTGGCCCGGGAGGGTGGGCCCGGGAGGGTGGCCCGGGAGGGTGGGGCCCGAGGGTGGGCCCGGGAGGGTGGCCCGGGAGGGTGGGGCCCGGGGAGTGGGCCGGGGAGGGTGGCCCGGGGGGGTGGCCTGGGAGGGTGGCCCGGGAGGGTGCTTGGATGCATCTTGTTTTATAAGAAAAAAAAAAAAAAAAAAAAAAAAAAAAAAAAAAAAAGAAAAAAAAAAAAAAAAAAAAAAAAAAAAAAAAAAAAAAAAAACAAAAAAAAAAAAAAAGAAAGAAAGAAAAAAAAAAAAAAAAGCAAAAAAAAAAAAAAGAAAAAAAAAAAAAAAAAAAAAAAAAAATAAAAAAAAAAAAAAAAAATAACAAAAAAAAAAACAAAAAAAAAAAAAAATAAAAAAAAAAAAAAAAAAAAAAAAAAAGAAAAAAAAGAAAAAAAATGGTTAAAAAAAAAAAATAAAGAAAAAAAAAAAGAAAAAAAAAAAAAAAAAAAAAAAAAAAAAAAAAAAAAAAAAAAAAAAAAAAAAAAAACGAAAAAAAAAAAAAAAATAAAAAAAAAAAAACAAAAAAAAAAATAAAAAAAAAAAAAAAAACAAAAAAAGGACTAAGCGTTATAAGTCTTAACGTGGTTTAAGTTGGTTTAGCTAAGCTTTAAGATGGATTAAGTTTGTTTAACTTGATTTAGCTAAGGCTTAACCTCACTTAGCTGGGGGGTAGGGAAGCGAACGACAGCTAAGGTGTTATGTAGGTGTATGTAAAACTATATAAGTCATGTTAAACCGTGTTAAACTATGTTAAACCATGTTAAGGAAAGCTCGCGAAAGCTGGCTCAACTTAAGTGGTTAGCTAAATTATGTTAAAGTAAGTTAAAACAACTCAAAGTACGTTAGCGTATGTTGAACGATACCAACGCCATCGCGATGATGGAGGGAGGACGGGGCGAGGAGGAGGGGACGGGATGCGCATAAGGAGGAGGAGGGGCCGCCGCTGCAGCTGCAGCCCCTCGCAGCATGGAGCTGCAGCTCGAGTTGTTGGGCGCGGCTGCAGCCGCCGCGCGCAAGCATACTCATTTTTTTCAATCGCTAGCTATAGCCAGGCGGGTTGAACGCAGTCGCACGGCCTCCACTGAGGGACCACGCGGGCGACGCCCGCATGACCTCGTCGAACGCCACCCACTGCAGCGTGGCGCCAGCAGTCGTCCAGACGCTCGCGCCGTGGCTGCTGCCAGCGCCGCGGCGCTCCCACCGCTCCACCAGCGCCGCGTGGAACGGCTGCGGCATCCGCGGGGGGCACGTGATGGCGACCAGCTGCCGCACCATGCCCATCACGTAGCCGCCCCCCGCGTCCCGCAGCACCGCGGCGTCGCCCACGGACACGCGGTCGCACTCGTTCAGGCGACCGTGCTTGGCGACCCTGAACTCCAGCCCAGGGAAGCCGAACACCGTCCTCAGCTCCGCCGCCAGCGGCCTGGGCGCGGGCAGAACAAATAACAACGCCAGCAAAACAAATCATGAAATTATAGCCGGAGTGCAGTATCCCCAAACAGGGTTTTTAGACCCGCTGCGGTTTCCAAGGTCGATTGCGTGCCCGTCCAGCGCGGGCTGGCATGGCATGTTAAAACATGCCTCCTCCTCCACAATTATTCAATATAAATATACTCCCCCTCTTCCCCTGATGGCGCCCGGGCGATGGCCGCGCACCCTCCGCGTATTGTTTGTTTACACAGGATGCCCGGGAAATCCCGGGAAGCGACTCTCGCTGAGGCGCCGGCGCCATTTTCTTCCCCTGATGGCGTCCGGGCGATGTCCGCGCACCCTCCGCGTATTTTTTTTTTACAGACAGGATGCCCGGGAAATCCCGGGAAACGATTCTCGCTGAGGCGCCGGCGTCATTGTTTCCCAAAATGCTGCTCTCGCGTCCGGGCGATGGCCGCGCACCCTCCGCGCACTGCTTTTTACACGCAGGATGCCCAGGAAATCCCGGGAAACGACTCTCGCTGAGGCGCCGGCGTCATTTTTTTCCAAAATGCTGCGCTCGTTGAGGCGCCGGTCTCATTTCTGCTCCCGAATCGTTCCGAATCGCGCTCCCGCTGCAGCGTGGGCTTCCTTTTCGGATCGGCGTTTGGCCTCCGTCGTTGAGGATGGCGTTCTCGCCCCAGCGCGGGTTTTTTTCTCGCGCGCCCATCCGCCCGCCACCACCGCGCCGCACCGCCACCACCACCACCACCACCACCACCACCACAACCACCACCAGCGCCAGCACCAGTACCACCACCACCACCACCACCACCATCACCACCACCACCACCACCACCACCACCACCACCACCACCACCACCACCACCACCACCACAACCACCACAACCACACACGCACACACGCACGCGCGCACGCACGCGCACCACCACCCACTACGCACGCGCGCGCGGAGCCACAGGTCCGCTACGACACGCGTCCGCGGATAGAGAAAATCAGCGCCATGGTAAGGGATGGGAGGAAGGGGTAGGACGTCAGATATGACGCGAGCGCACCTAGTTTGTCCTCCTCCCCCTCCCCCTCCTCCTCCTCCTCCTCCTCCTCCTCCTCCTCCTCCTCCTCGTCCACCTCCGCTTCATCCCGAAAGGCGTCTCGGAGCCCAGGGTTGCGAGGATGTCTCCAGCGTAACTGGCTGGACCACCTCGCGCGCGGCATCTCGGACCCCAAAGTTGCGACGATGTCTCGGCCCGCGAGGGTGGGCCCACGAGGGTGGCCCGGGAGGGTGGCCCGGGAGGGTGGCCTGGGAGGGTGGGCCCGGGAGGGTGGCCCAGGAGGGTGGCCCGGGAGGGTACGTGGCCCGGGAGGGTGGCCTGGTCTCCGAGGGTGGGCCCGGGAGGGTGGCCCGGGAGGGTGAGCCCGAGGGTGGCCCGGAAGGGTGGCCCGGGGGGATCCCCGAGGGTGGGGCCCAGGACGGTGGCCCGGGAGGGTGTGCCCGGGAGGGTGGCCACGGAGGGTGGGCCCGGGAGGGTGGCCCGGGAGGGTGGCCCGGGAGAGGTCCCAGAAAAAGGCACGGGTGGCCCCCCCCGTGAAGGGTGGCACTGGAGGGTCCCCGAGGGTGGGCCCCGGGAGGGTGGGTGCCCGGGAGTGTGGCCCGTGAGGGAACCGGGAGGTGGCGGCCCGGAAAGGGTTCCCGGGAGGTCCGGGATGGTGGGGCCCCGGAGGGCGGCCGCGGGAGGGTGGCGTCCCAGGGGGGTGGGCCCGGGAGGAGGGGTGGCCGGGAGGGTGGCCCGGGAGGGTGGGCCCTGGAGGTGGCCCGGGAGGGTGTGCCCGGGAGGGTGGGCCCGGGAGGGTGGCCCGGGAGGGTCCCCGAAGGTGGGGCCTGGGAGGGTGGCCCGGGAGGGTGGGCCTGGGAGGAGGGTGGCCCGGGAGGGTGGGGCCGGGGTGGCTCGGGAGGGTCGGTCCCCGAGCGTGGGGCCCGGGAGGGTGGCCCGGGAGGGTGGGCCAGGGAGGGCGGCCCGGGAGTGCAGCCCGGGAGGGTCCCCGAGGGTGGGGTCCCGGAGGGTGGCCGGGGAGAGTGGCTCGGGAGGCTGGCCCGGGAGGGTGGTCCGGGAAGGTGGCTCGGGAGGGTGGCCCGGGAAGGTCCCCGAGGGTGGGCTGGGGCCCGGGAGGGTGGGCCTGGGAGGGTGGCCCGGGAGGGTATGGCCTGGGAGCTGCGCGCGGCGGGGGTACTTATAAGTACTTATGCTAGTTATAAGTAACTTATGAACTTACGGCCTACTTATAAGTAACTTATAAGTAACTTATAAGTAGCCCGTAAGTAGCCCGTAACTAGCCCGTAAGTAGCCCGTAAGTAGT